TACGGTATATATACGTATATATGTGTGTGTGTTTACATACATACAGGAGTCATGGAACTGTGCTTACAGCTCCTTCATTTTTCATGTACACTAATAACTTGTGTACATGGTTCTTGTTGATGGCATTAAAATAATTTCTAATAGCATTAAAATAGCATTAAATTAGAGTCACTCATTCCTGTATGAACCCTGTGAGCGCTTAATTTAATATGACATATTAAAAAAATCCCACCATCATCCAGCATATGTTCAGTTTCTGCCCAAATATATATATATATATATATATATATATATATATATTTTTTTTTTTTTTGTAGATTTTTGTAACGGGGATAAGGATAATTCAAAACTGCTTTTTTTGAATGAACTTGTTCTCTACTCCCAAACTCAGCATCTCTTTTCATTCCTGTAATAAGAAGTTTCTTTTGAATGGATTTGATTAAAGTTTAAGTCCCTCGGTATAAAATAAATATTTTGATGGAGATGAGAAATCTGCTTCCTCGTTGGTGAATTACCAATAGTTTGGATCCAATCATTTAAATAAACTGTGTTAGTTTTTTTTTTTATATATATAAGAATTGTGCTATAATTTCTTGTCACCGATCTGTTGCTGCTATATTTTAATTTGACAAACCGGAATTTATCAATGTTCTTTTTCCTGTTTGGTGCGATTGCAATTGCGGATCTTGACCTGGCCGGACCTTATGACCACAGTGTACCAATCTTCTGATGGTTACTTCCAACAGGATAATGCGCCATGTTATAAAGTGAATCATCTCAGACTCATTTCTTGAAACTTTTCCACTTAAGTAATTGTGAATTGAGCATATTGACAGACAACATTTTATTTTTTCTCTTAAATGCAAATTTTACTGCTCTAAATGTATTGCTCTGTCAGCTAAAGATCTGTTTTGGTCTCTATACTTTAATTAAATAAATCAATTCAAGCTAAAATGTAAGAGGCTATACTGAGCCTGATCTCTTTGTATCAGAGATTTTCTTACCTTTCAGAAAAATGTCACTTGGGGTAAAACTCCCCATGCAACCCTGATTTGCATTTGTATAGCTCTCAGCGTTTTCATTTACATGTTAAAGCCTCCCCTAGAATTCCATGGGGGGGAGGCATGGGGGGAACACTGCCTAAGAAAGTCCACGTCAATTTCTGACAATTTACGGGAGTTTTCGGCGAAGCCTGCAAATTGCCGTAAACTGCCTCTAACCTGAAGTTCCACGACAATCTACAGTGCCGCATATTGACGAAAATCCCACTTTTCATGCAGTGTGGCAGGGTAACAACCCACGGGCCAGCATGCCAAGGCTGGAGACTGAACAATACTGGAAAAAATCTGGGAGAAAAAAGCATCACACAGCAATGATGTGCTAACCATGCGAACAACCCTGAACAGGCTCAATCACAATGGCAGACCTCCAACAAAGAACTGTACAGCACTAAGCAGAAAACGACTTTTCTCTATAAATGCCTAGCGGCACAAATGACCTGGCTGTTGGAGAGTGGGACCCACCCTAAATGGAAGACCAATGGCAAAACAGTCCTCATAAAGAAAGACCCCCAGAAGGGCACAGTCCCAACTAACCATCAGTTAAGCATCAGAGCGGCAAAGACAAGCTGGCACATGGATCAACACGTTACAGAGGCATATAGATGTAGCAGCTTCAGTAGGGCGGCCCAGACGTCCCTCTCCCCAGCGACTTGGGCCAATCCCAAGGTGCTCCCAGGCCAACCGAGAAACATAATCCCTCCAGCTTGTCCTGGGTCTCCCCCTGGGCCTCCTCCCGGTAGGACGTGCCTGGAATACCTCAGCAGGGAGACGTCCAGGAGGCATCCTAATCAGATGCCCGAGCCACCACCTCTCGATGTGGAGGAGCAGAGGCTCTACTGTGAGTCCTCCCCGGATGGTTTAGCTCCTCACCCTATCTCTAAGGGAGAGCCCAGAGACACTATATATATATATATATATATATATATATATATATATATATATATATATATATATATATATATATATATATATATATATATATATATATATATATATATATATATATATATATATATATATATATATATATATATATGCCTCTGTAACGTGTTGATCCATGTATACAGGTGCTGGTCATAAAATTAGAATATCATGAAAAAGTAGATTGATTTCAGTAATTCCATTTAAAAAGTGAAACTTGTATATTATATTCATACATTACATACAAACTCATATATTTCAGATGTTTATTTTGTTTAATTTTGATGATTACAAATGACAACAAATGAAAATCTCAAATTCATCATATCAGAAAATTAGAATATTGTGAAAAGGTTCAAAATTGATGGCCCCTGGTGCCACACTCTAATCAGCTAATTAACTCAAACCACCTGCAAAAGCCTTTAAATGGTCTTTCAGTCTAGTTCTATAGGCTACACAATCATGGGGAAGACTGCTGACTTGACAGTTGTCCAAAAGACGACCATCGACACCTTGCACAAGGAGGGCAAGACACAAAAGGTCATCGCTAAAGAGGCTGGCTGTTCACAGAGCTCAGTGTCCAAGCACATTAATAGAGAGGCGAAGGGAAGGAAAAGATGTGGTCGAAAAAAGTGTACAAGCAAGAGAGATAACCGCACCCTGGAGAGGATTGTGAAACAAAACCCATTCAAAAATGTGGGGGAGATTCACAAAGAGTGGACTGCAGCTGGAGTGAGTGCTTCAAGAACCACCACACACAGACGTATGAAAGACATGGGTTTCTGCTGTCGCATTCCTTGTGTCAAGCCACTCTTGAACCACAGACAGCGTCAGAAGTGTCTTGCCTGGGCTAAAGAGAAACAGGACTGGACTGCTGGTGAGTGGTCCAAAGTCATGTTCTCTGATGAAAGTAAATTTTGCATTTCCTTTGGAAATCAAGGTCCCAGAGTCTGGAGGAAAAGAAGAGAGGCACTTCATCCACGTTGCTTGAAGTCCAGTGTAAAGTTTCCACAGTCAGTGATGGTTTGGGGTGCCATGTCATCTGCTGGTGTTGGTCCATTGTGTTTTCTGAGGTCCAGGGTCAACGCAGCCACATACCAGGAAGTTTTAGAGCACTTCATGCTTCCTGCGGCTGACCAACTTTTTGGAGATGCAGATTTCATTTTCCAACAGGACTTGGCACCTGCACACAGTGCCAAAGCTACCAGTACCTGGTTGAAGGACCATGGTATCCCTGTTCTTAATTGGCCAGCAAACTCTCCTGACCTTAACCCCATAGAAAATCTATGGGGTATTGTGAAGAAGAAGATGCAATACACCAGACCCAACAATTCAGAAGAGCTAAAAGCCACTATTAGAGCAACCTGGGCTATCATAACACCTGAGCAGTGCCACAGACTGATCGACTCCATGCCACGCCGCATTGCTGCAGTAATACAGGCCAAAGGAGGCCCAACTAAATACTGAGTGCTGTACATGCTCATACTTTTCATGTTCATACTTTTCAGTTGGTCAACATTTCTATAAATCCTTTGTTTTTATTGGTCTTCAGTAATATTCTAATTTTCTGATATGATGAATTTGAGATTTTCATTTGTTGTCATTTGTAATCATCAAAATTAAACAAAATAAACATCTGAAATATATGAGTTTGTATGTAATGTATGAATATAATATACAAGTTTCACTTTTTAAATGGAATTACTGAAATCAATCTACTTGTCCAGCACCTGTATACATTAGTGGTGGCCACAGATTATTTTTTTCAATGTAGGTTAATCTCACTGTGATGTTGACATAATAAAATGGCTAATTTGAATTTATTTTTCAGGGAAACCATTTACAGAAGAGAGACAAAAAAGATTGCAAGTACAAATATAACAATAAGATAAGGATAAGAATAAAATAAGATAAGGGTAAAAATAAAACAAGATAAGGATGATATGTAAGAACTACCTCAATAATTTGTAAAAGTAGGTATCTGAACAGGTTTCTCTAGCCAGGTGGTGCATGAGCCAGGGACTTTTATCCTGTTTCCAAAATGCGTCACAAACGCATTGAGCAAGCTTTTATACTATGATAACTGGTGAGTAAAATAAAAAATGTTCAATAAAATGTATTTGTGTTTAGTACGTATTTTTTCTGATAAACTTTAATTCTGAACTGTAGGCTGACATAATGGGTCTTGATGAACTGTTTAAAGTTAGTAGCTTTGTGTCAGTCAGTCAGAGGTCAATTTCTCCTTTTTCCACCAGTCACTCAGGCAGTCATTTTAATGGCTTGTGAGGCTGTATTAGCCGCAAGGGCTGCTGGGTAATTTCAAGATGGGGAAAACATCACCATTTCATCCTAGTTTTGCGTTAAAATGGGGTTGTTTATATTGGTAGTCTGCTCATGCTAAGCTAAAATTATGTTTTGGGGGTTGCAGTTGTACATGTTAAAATTGGCTTCATTTGGGAGAATGTTTCACCAATTGCATGTAAGCCAACAACAATTTTCTGGATTTTCTGCAATGCATCAATAATTAATTATATCTTTCAACATACAATTTGACTGTATGATCTGGTTGAACTGTAAAGTGCCTTGAGATGACATGTGTTGTGAATTTCACTATATAAACAAACTGAATTGAATTGAATTCAACATACAAGGTATGTAAAAAGTAGTGCTTCAAGTCCCTCGGGTGTGTCTGCATTTTCAACTTGAACCTCAATTGTCATTGGCAACCTCCAATGGAGGTGCCTTGCCTTGCAAGTCAATTACTCAATATAATCACCTGTTTATCCTTGGTAGTAAGGATAAACATTTAACCAGTCTGATTTTACTGCCTTTGTAAAGTGCCTTGAGAGGACATGTGTTATGAACTGGCACTACACAGACAAACCAAACTGATTTAAAAATTGCATTTTATTTATTTTTTTACTTATCATCTTATCCCTTATTTGTCTCTGTGTTGAGCTCATAATCTGCCATTTGCCGTCTTGTTTTCCCCTTATATTTACTTTTGTGCTTTCCCAGAGAATCCCTCTTTGTCTCTGCTGCAGAAGACTTTTTTCAGTCCAGTGAGCTGCCACGCTACAGGCTTCTATCCTAAAAGAGCCCTGATGTTCTGGACGAAAGATGGGGAAGAGATTCATGAGGACGTGGAGCATGGAGAGATCCTTCCAAACAATGATGAGACCTTTCAGACGAAAGTTAACCTGAATGTATCCTCAATCCGTCCTAAAGATTGGAGGAGATACAACTGTGTGTTTCAGCTCCTTGGCAAAGAGGAAGAAACCATCCAACTGGATAAAGCAAAGATAACAAGCAACCGAGGTAAGGATAAAATGTTTCTGTTACTTTTGTTATATTTTGTTGTGTATTTAATTCATTGTTGTCGGTTTGTTTCATCAACCAGAAATCTCTTCAAAAAGAGATCTTGGATCTCAATGAGACTCTCCATATAAATAAATGTTACATAAAAATAGAAAAAGAAAAACCAGTATATATATACTATATGTCATCTCTATGTAGAGCCACAATTATTTATAGGTCTTTGCCATGAACGGCTGTAATGAACTTTTATTAACCATTTTCATTTTAATTTCCTGATGAGCTTTACATTTTTGACAGGCTCTGGCATAACCTATCTTTTAAGTTATTTACATATCCTGAAAAATTGGAGTCTAAGCTTTCCTATGATGTCGAATTTGACCATTCCAATGTTAACTTTAAGGAGAAACCAGCCCTTGAACATTCTTTAAAATTATCCTGGAAGCTATCTGGGTGATAACAAAACATGTTAATTTGAATACCTTTGTATTCCACAGGAGCTTCATGTCAACAAACTACTCAATGGTTCCTTGAAACATAAATGTAATTTACTCAACAGCATTACAATATATGTTACATCTGTGCATTACACAAACATCTTTCAAAAAATGACAACCCCAACTTTAACTGTAACACCAAGACACAAGAAAACTAAGTTTTAAAAAAAGAAACTTAAAAACTTTCCATTTACAAAACTGATAAATGTCAACAACTTGTGTTCTTTATCTCTGCTTTTTTATGTATGTAAGTGGCATAAAGACGTAGTCTGAAATTAAATTGTTGATGTAATTGATAAATGTTTTTCAGCAGTTCATAATTCAATTGGAGGACTAATATGCTAAAAGACCACAGTGTGAATTATGGTTAATCTACAAGACTTGTGATGCTGTCACTGAGCTATACTTGTCAAACGTTAGGCATAGAGTTCTTTAGTCTAACGGATTCCTTCTACCAGCACTTATAGGATGAGTCGTGATTCTGTATTACACTCCACAATATTGCATTTTAATCATTGCACTTTATCTGTGCAATGATTAAAATGTAATGTGTTATTAATGCATGGGTATGAGATAAGTTGTGGCCACAGGTTATTTGTGAGGGAGGTGCTTTGTGGTGGTGTAGAATACATTCAAGATACATGGAGGACATAGAATTGATTTCATTTTATTTCTACCTGAGAATGCACTTACTGTAATGACGTCCTGTGAGACACTTAATTCGGGTGCTGAGGTCATATGGATTGAGATACAAAGAGTATGCAGACATTGGCCATGTTATTGACCTCACCCAGAAGAAGCTGGAAGAACACAGGAGACTGCATGGTTATAGGTGAATGCACAACAGTTAATCATTGAACGCTCTATCTCATACTCACAAGTTAGGTGTATCAGAGGACTGTTCATTACCATGTGTTGACCATACTGGTTAGCTGGCACTGAGCTTAACAGCCGAAAAATTATTTTAAAAGCCAAACAATTCTGCTTATAAATTAGCTGCATGTTGGTCTCCTCCTGATATGGAGATACAGTTGTGTGAGATTTTACTCAAGAACAGGATGAGTCTAAACACAAAGTTTACCATTCTAAATCCTCTAAAACTGTGACATAAAGCACTGAGTTTTTAGTGTTTGCCTTCAGTTTATGCATTTTGCAATTGAACGAAAATATATATATTTCTTGTTTATCAAACATGGATGGGGTTTTTCGCTTTTCCAAGGTTGTGCTCTGTCCAGCTTGTTCATACTTTTCTCTATGGTGCATGACATTTAATACCTTATGATTAAATTAATGCAGTTTGGTCTGTTATGTTTTTTTTCTGTTTTTATTTGTTCTTCTTTCTTAATTTACCAGAGAAGCCCAGTAACACAATCAGCCCCATGACTGCTGCTGTGATTGGTTCTGTTCTTGTATCCATTGCTGCTGCTGCTGGATATGTGGTCTATAAAAAGAATAGAAGTAAGCAACTTGGATTGTATGTCTCGTATAATATGCTTTCATTCATTTTGTAAATTTATGAGGACATCTGGTACAAAGCACCATTGACTATTTGGTAGTGATTAGAGGACCAGAATGAAGAAGCAAGAATAAAAACTAAATGTTTTTGTTTGATTCACTGATATAGATAATATGTTTTAATAAATTAAAGATTAACATATTTTGGCATTAATAAAAAGTAATATAAATTCTTATCTTTTGTTTTACAGACAAAAATCTGCTTGTACCATCATCCTGTAAGAACACCTCCAACACGTTTTTTCTCTCAGCTAATTGTGTTGCAGTAATTCAGCTAAATCACTTCCTTTGCATGTAGTGGAATAATTTAATATTGCTCGGAGAGGTGTAAGGTGAAGTGATCATACAGTCATCTGTTAGGTTATTTTAGCAATTCGTTGATTCATTTATTTTATTCATTCAGTTTATTTGTATAGCTTCAATTCAAAACACATGTCATCTCAGACCACTTCACATAGACAATTTAATCAAATCATTCTGACAGATTGTCATTGACTCTTAAGCAATCCGTCACTCCGAGCGTGCACGCATCAACAGCGGAGAAGGAGGAACTCCCTTTTAACAAGAAGAAACCTCCATTAAAAACAGGCTAAAAGAAACAGATATACAAGAGAAACAACGGTGGCCGGCCCAGCTGCTATTTCTTTCCAGAATGGTGTCATAGCTTAACAGGAACATACAAGATGTAACTACTATGATTAGAACAAGCAGAAACCAGATAAAATAGGGGTTGAAATAGGAAATACTGCATAATGGGACTATAGAAATAGAGTAAAGCAAAATGATGAAAAGTGGTCCCTATGCCCACCAGCAGTCTAAGTCTATACCAGCATAACTAAAGCAATAGTTCAGAATAACCTGGACCACTAACTATAGGGACTGTTAAAAAAAAGGAAAGATTTAAGCCTAGTCCTAAAAGTATACAGGGTGTCTGCCTCACAAACTAAAACTTATAAATTGAACTACTGGTTCCATAGGAGAGATGCCTGTAACTTAAGAATCTGCCTCAAGTCACTATAACTAAGTAAATAAACTTAGTTACTACCTCTGCCAGTTGGTGAAAGAAAGTGCAATTTCTTGTATTATCAAAATTGGGTAGAAAAATAAATGTTTTTTTTTTTTTATCCAATATGACAACATATTTTGGAAATGTAAATATTGTTTTATCTTAGGAGTAGAAGAAATCTTTATTTTTCTAGATGGCCCCAAACTCTGTCTTTAATAAAACGTCTCTAGCCTTGTTTTAGTTTACCTCAGCTTCATGAATGTTTGCATTCATACTGTAATTTCCACCACTTGATCTAGGTTTTCCATAATTTTTAAACCTATTTATATGTTTAAAGGCTCATATGCAATGTAATGCATATAAAATCTATTCTTACACCTCTAATGGAATTTCCAGTGATAGCTTTGATATGGGCCTGTTGGTGTAGTATGTTATTTTAAATACCATCTTCAAGTTATCCCCTTGGGTCTTAATAGGTTAAAACAAGTGAAACTGTGTATGTTCATAATAATAAGATGCAGCAATATGTTAAAAATATATTTACCATCTACATCTCTTGCAAAGTTCATCTGCTAACACCTCTTAATACCATTACTGTTGTCATATATCTCAGGGTTGTTTTGCTCTCTATTTACTGTGACTCTTTCTGACCTTTCAGACCCTTGGAGAGACTTTGTCCTCAGTGACCAGCTGAATTCAGAGACCTGATGAATCAACGGATAGCTCATTAAATGTACATAAAAAATATTTTCACGTCAAAATACAGCTTATTATAGTTCTAAATTTTTTTTGAATGAATCAAATGTGAAGAGGTTAACACAAATAATGCTAATGAATTGAAACCAGATTTGTATCTCTGCTAACACCTGTTGATACTTGTTGAACACTTGTTGACTGTTTTAGACTGTATTAGATCAGCTGAAACTATTCATTTGACATCATTGTTAAAGGTTTAATTAAGGTTAAAATAAGTTTAAGACTTTTGTTAGGGTATTATTTCTATTTTAAAGTAAGTTGCTACATTCCCGGTGAAGTTGGATCTGTGATTGAATGTACTCTGAGCCAGATGCTATATAGCAGATAAGCTTCTTTAGCCGTTCCTGACTTTGTGGAAGAGGTTTTGCTGGATATATTTTGGGTCTTCAAGCACAAGAAAACAGAGAAACCAAAGATCTATGTTTAGCTCATCAGTTCTTGTTATGATCATGAAAAAATGGAGCGTCAAAAAAATTATTTTGTCATCGTTGACGAAAACAACACTGCATGGAAAAGAGAGAAAATTAAACAAAACAGCAAACATAGACAACACAGAAGATAAGCTGTATGAGAATAGAGGAACAGACAACAGAGAGCATAACAGCAAAAAGACGACAACAGACTACCAAATTAAACATCAAAAAGATTTTAAGAGCACCAGGTATCCCCTGGATGTCCATGTATGTGAAAGGCCAAACCTGCGGTGATAACACAATATTATTCAGATTGGTATATATCTGTAGTGTAGTTTCATATCTAGTATTAGGGTGTATCTGTAAGTTTTTGAAACCAAACTCCTGTGGTATGTATGCATGGGCATTGTCGTGCATAAAAGATTTACAAAGCTTCTTTAGAACGAAAATATTCTGAAAAGCATATTGGCGACCCCAGGCTCGCCCTACAGGTCCCAGGACCAACTAAGAGTAGAACCCCACCCCATATATCCAAAGGAGCCAAGGGCAGACATAGAGATGGCCGTGCCCACCAGAGAAGGGGAAATGGGAGCATCTGGAGCGCAACCACCAATGGGCCCAAACCCAAAGGGTCAAAACACAGAGGCGACAGTGCTGAGGTACCGTGGGGCCACAGCAGCAAGCCCCTGGACTCCACCAGTGGCCGGTCAAGCCCAAGGTGGACCCAGATAAGATCCTTGTGTTCCGAGGTCCACACCCTGGGGGAGGAGGAAGATGGAATTAAAATTATTAGTAGTATTAGTGCCTTGAGGCACTTCTTTCTTGCTTTCAGGTAAGATCAGTAGTCATTCAACACAGTCCAAACTACAGTTAACAGAGAAGCTCCAGCAGTTCATTTAAGGTCAGTGTTTGTCTCTGCCTTCTCATTCCAAAAAAGTAAAACAAAAACAGTCCGCTGGACTTTGTTTCCTGGTTTGTACACATGGATTGTTTTTTAACTTTATTGGAATGACGATGACGTGGATGACTAGGAATTTTCAACAGCTCTCTTCCTTCTCGAGCCTCAAATACCAACTGGTTTAGGTATGTCAACAAGATGACTTTTAAAATTGAAAGAAAGAAAACCAATAAGACAGCTGCTTCTTATGGTCATGTATTTACCTATCTCCTTAAGTCCAGAATTACATTTATATTTGTGTTTCTGGTGGATGTAAAGTAGTTTGGATTAGCTATTCCATTAAACTGGAGGTACCAGTAAATTATTGTTGGTCCTTTCTCATTGTATCAATGTTCGTTTCAGTTCCATTTGTATCTTTGTATTAAACATCACAGAATATATAAAAATATCCCCTAAAATACCTGGTTCTCTTTTTTTTTTTCCTGATTTGTGCCTCATTATCCCTCTAGGGATAATGAGATTGCAAGACTGGAGACATTAAAGGTTTATTTTTAAAAAAACTTGCATATACCTGATTAAGCACAACAAGTTGCAACATTTCTGTGATGTTATTCACTTTCTATCCCCCGTTTCTCTCCTTTGCTCTCAGTCTCTGGTCTGCTGTCTCACATTACCCACCTTCTACATTTTAGACAGAAGCTCAAATTTACTCAAGGTAGTGATGTGAAGAACAATCAGTCCAATAGTCCAAATATAAATGTCAGCATTCACTTTTGAAATTTATATTTCATATGCAGGTAAATTCTGACGCCCTCTGGTGGAGGAATTATTCAATGGAATGGAACAGTGGGGTTAAAAAACTTTTGACAAAAAAACTGCAGACTAGATAATATAAAACAAAGAACAAAAGAGAAATAAACAACTGTCAGAAAGGAAAATAATTCTGTGCCGTTATTAAAAAAAGGAATAACCCGAAAATGTTCATGCTAAAAGACAGAAATTATTTCATTCCTGTTATACTCTTAAACATGTGTTTAAATCCAAACCAGACAATAACATTGACATTTTTTTTCTACGGCCCTCCTTCAGTGTCTCTCCTCCAGAGGTCTCTGCTGCTACACTACAGGTTTGCACCCTAACAGTGCTGTGATGTTCAGATGGAGAGGAGTTTCATGAAGGGTGGAATATGGAGAGATTCTCCCCAACAATAATGGAAGCTTCAAGAAAAGTGTTGAGCTGAACATTTCATCAGTAACACCAAAAGACTGGATGAGATACTGTATTACTGTGTTTCAGATCTCTAATGTCAAAGATGAAATCATTAACAGAACTAACCATGGAAAGAATGGAGGTAGAGAACAAAAAATATGAAAGAGACATAAAAATTTTAAATGTGACTTAAGGCAAACTAGCATAAATGGAGATAAGTTTTAATAATTAAAATATGCGTCATTAATGTAGAAATTGTCATTCGTTCTTATTTTTGCTCTTTTCTCGTGACAATTTAGCTGAGATGGTTTTAAGATTGTTTTTAGTTTCTTCTATAACAAAATTTTCCAGCTTTACAAACCTGTTCAGAGACTAAATTCTGAGACCAGTATAACAAAAATATCCAATCCTGTTTTATTTGTTAAGAATTTATGAAAGAACAGTCGACCAAAGTGCTTTACAGAAAGATAAATAATAAATTACAGATAAAAGACAAAACAGCTCAAACATTGGTAAAAAGTAACATTCACACAATCAAAACAATTACATTGGATTAAAGGAAAAAAAGGCTTAAAAAGATCAAATAAAGTCCACTGTGTAGCTATGTGTCAAAAGCCAAAGTGAAAAGTTGGGTTTTGGCAAGAGATTTAAAAACACAAAAGGAGGCTTGTCTGATGTGCTGTAGCAGGTTGTTCCAGAGCTTTGGAGCTGCAATAGTAAAAGCATGGTTCACTCTCTGATTCTGCTTAGTTTTAGGCAATCTCAGGAGAAACTTAGCAGCTGACCTGAGAGAGCGAGTATTTAAATGTAAATCCCTTTATTGTCCCACAATGGTGAAATTCATTCTCTGCATTTGATCCATGGGGAGCAGTGGGCTGCCATTTTGTGGCGCCCGGGGAGCAATCAGGGGTCAAGGGTTTTGCTCAGGAACCAGAGTAGGGGCTGTGGGGATCAAAGCGGGTATTTGCAACCTTCTCAGAGGACAAGTGCACTGCTGTAACCCACTAGGCCAAGTAGTGACAGGGCAAGATCAATTTGGGATTTAAAAGCAAGTAAAATTATTTTAAAATTAATTGTGAATATGGGCAGCCCGCTAAAATGGGGGATGATGCGCACATACCAATGATTATTAGCAACGTGCTTCAATAGTGACATCTGAGAATGCAATCTCACTGATGATTATTATTAATTTAGTCTTTGCGCTTTATTAAATATGATTGCAGTTGCAGCCTAAAAGGACAGATTTTATATTTAACCACTAGATGGCAGTAATTTTCTTACTGCTATATTTTGTCATCTTAAAGATTGTGGTGTTTTTTATATATATATAACTCATTTGCTTACATTTTAACTTTTATTATTATATCAAGTCATCAAACTCAACAAAAACCTTATAGCCTATAAGGGGACCTCTTTGATGAGTAACTCAGATTTTTGTTGTTGCCCCAGTAACGAATCTATCTATAAACACGCAGTTAAACTTAAGGAAATTTAGGTATTTTACCTCTTACGGGTGTTTAGATATGTTCACTGGGGGTAAGGAAAACCTCTGCTCTGGTGTAAACTCTCTTACCTTAAAGATTGCTCTGTATTTATCTTTATTTTAGCCCAATAACTCTTCTGATCAACTCTTACCAGCCTCCCTGTTCCTGCTGGAGACCATCCCAGCATGGTGCGGCCACCATTGTGATTCCACCTTAAGAAAGTTTTCTCAAATAGAAGGTGTCAGTTTTCCTGCACACATTTTATAAAAAGGTAAAAAAAAAAAAAAAATTCACTCTTATCTGACCAGAACCTTCCACAGGTTTGTTGATTCCTCCAGACAGCTTTTGTCAAACCTCATTCCAGGTTTTACCATACGGACCAGTTTTAAAACATGCTAGGTTTTCTGCAGGTCAATTAAAGGCAATGAAAATTATGATATTTTTTTTCTGTTTTAAATTAAGGCTTTACTCTGCATTCAATTCATTAAATTTGATCACCGGTAGCATTAGAAGTTCATGTTTTTTCTCTCCTAGACTACAAATATAGTGAACTGAAAACTGTTGAGTCTGAATTTAAATTGAAGTTCCTTTTTTTAGATAATTGATTAAACTTAAATATTAAAGACCAGTCTGTTGAGTTCCTTGTTCTTTATCGATCATGAGTGTTATTTAAAAAAGAAGGGGCCTAGAGAACTTGACAATTTTAGAATATTGTTTGTTATAAACAATCCCTTTTCTTTTATGTTTCAAATCTCTGCACTACTGCAAAGTATGGAAACATATTTCGGCTCCTGGCTACAAAGGCAAAAACATTGTTTGTATTAAGGCTGCAGTTGAGTTAAAATATATTTATACATTGTTGCACAATTCGATTAGTCATCTGCATAACAAGCATCTGCACACAACAAAAATCTGCTAATATCAGCCTCTCCATCCCCCCGCTGGCCCATCATATAATTCTGTGATGGAGAGTTGCTTAGGAAGATTGAAGGACAATGTTGCCACTAAAGCCAAGCATTCAGCTCTGTGTGAGAACAGACAGAGGTAAATAACGCTGCCATTGGTACATCTCCTATAAGCTACCTGAGCTGGTTGAAGTTTTTCAGGTGCTTCAGAGATCTCCGAGCAACCAAATCAGTCTGAGCTGGTTAGAAATAGATCTTCCTCATTGGTTCAAATATCAGTGACCAACATGGAGAAAGGGAAGTGATGCAAAAAAAGATAACGTGCCTTTTTTTATCTTGTGAAATAATCCCTGATGTGGCCCATGTGATTCATAATCATTATGGTTACATTTTTCTACTATCTGTATTTAGGAGACAGTACTGAGATCTACCAGTTTCTACATCTGATCAAAAATATAAACAAAATGTAAAATGTAAATCCCTTTATTGTCCCACAATGGGGAAATTTACTCTCTGCATTTGACCCATCCCCTTGGGGAACAGTGGGCTGTATGTATATATATATATATATATATATATATATATATATATATATATATATATATATATATATATATATATATATATATATATATATAAACATTTTGCATTTAAGATAAAAAATATTATATTCTCTGTCCAGAACTCAAGTGGGAAAGTTTTAGTTTGACCTGGTTTTACTCCTTTTCCTTGACAGCGAGGGGCAGAGTTTTTGAGGTTTATTGTGACAAGCATGAAACAGGTGAAATACCAGTTTTTGCAGGATTGTGATGATGAAATAGCATTATAACAGATAAAAGGTCAATAAGTTTATCTTGCCTATTTTAGGCATTTTTAAAAACAAGAACAAAAACGTACACCAAAAGTTTTATTTTTTTTTATTTACATGTTTTCATTACCAAAAATATCTCCAGTACAACCTAACTGGCCGAAATGCCTGCAGCCAAAAAAAGACTTGTTTGCCAGGAAGTGACTGAAAAAAGTAACTAAAACTGCTTCTGGGAGGCTGCCAGCATCTGACCACAGATTCTGCTTCATTATGAATGTAGGAATTTCTTAAAGACAAAGCATGTTTTCTTTGTTTCCTTCTTCAGCCTCAAATCTATGGTCTGTTTGTTTTTAGAAAGTCATTTTTTTCCTTCATGAAGTTTCACCATGTGACTAATTTGACCTGCTCTGAACTGAAACTGGGATTAGATCAAACCAGGTTTAACAAGTTTTAGCTTTAATCTGATATGTGGTTAAAAAAACAAAACAGGTTTTAACAAAGATAAAACTTTGTTTAACTTAGGTCTGTAAAAGAGCCTAATCTCTGAAGCACTTGTACAGAAAGAAAGTATAAGTGTTTATTTTATTTCAGACAGAAGTCATAAAAAATCCCCACATCGGGCAACAGTTTGTTGATCAGGCCTCTGAGTTCAGTGGCTCAAGAAGCTCCAATCTCCCCTCTGGAACTGAAAAGTCACAAAGAGTACAATCAATAAAATTTATAACACCTCTGAAACATATCAGAAATGTAAATGGAGGTAAACCTATAAAGATGCTGTTTGTAATATAGTTCTATCTACAGTAGATACATTTCAGCAAAATATATTGTCTCACATAAAAAATCATGGTCGCTTACCTATTTTCTTTTTATAGACCACATATCCAGCAGCACCAATGGAAACAAGAACAAAAGAAATTGCTACAGCTATGATGGGAGCAGTTGTGTTACTCTGCCTCTCTGTGAACAAAGCTTAAAGAACAAATAGAAACACAAAAAGTCACAATGGTGCAGTTACATCTCTCTGCTGTAGTTCTTTTTATTTCTACCTGTAATAAAATTGTAGACAGCATCAGATATGAATCATGGATCTTATATAAAAATTCTTTAAAAACAAATGTTAGATATTAAATATTAGGAGCAGGATGTACAGTAGGAGTTTTTCCTGCGACCGAGTGTTGCAGATTTGAGGCCTAGCTCTGCATGTCTCAGTCACTGTGCCCTTGGGAAAAACACTTCCCCGTGTTGCATATGTAGGAATGAAAGATTGTAGTTTAGTAGCTCTATGAAGTCCCCTTACTTAACAAAGACCCTAGAGAAATACAAGCCATTTGTTAGGAATCCAGTTTGTGTGGTCTGTTTGTGTCGTTTCCTTCTCTCCACCACCAGGTGGTGCCCTGTCCTCATTGGGGCTCCCTGCACACCTGCAGCTCGTTGGACCATTACTGGAGGAGTACTTGTGCAGTGGGCTGTCACTACCTCAACGCCAGAATGTTTGCCAGTTTTGGGAACTCTAGCCAAGCTGAGGTTAGCTGAGTCTACCCTTCCATTGTTTCTCTGAGTCTAATGAGTTTTTTTATCTTTGCTCTTCGGCAGGAAGCAGGAAGTAACTGGACACCTGGTCCTTCTCCTCCTGGAAGGCATAACTAAGTTTACACTGAGCAGGGGAAAACCTCCACATGGTCCGTTCAAATTCCCTTGGAAATCCAAGTGACAGTGCGCTCCATTACTCCTCCGGGTCCAACGTATGTCTAAATGTCCGCTCTCCAACGAGTTCCCATCTGTCTGGATAACCCCACACAGACTGGATTCAAGGATTGACAAGAGCCCCCTCAAACGTGAGTCCCTCTCTTGCGAAATTCAAGCCGCAGTCTCAATTCCCACGGTCCTTGAACTGATCTCTGTGATCTTCCCTTCTGACTTTCCAGTTCCCGTTCACCAGTTCACTGAGTTCCAGATCCAACCCGTTTTCATTACAACAAATAAAACTGTTGAACTTTTCTCCGTGTTCTCTGAGTGGTTTCTCTGCATGTGGGTCAGATTTGTTAAACCAATCCTGATACCATTAAAGGAGAAGTTCGGTTTTTTACACTTTAAGCCCATTTTCTGTAGTGTCCAGGATGAAATCGAATGATCGAAACCAAAAGTTTGACAATTGCTCCTGTCTCTGCTTTTTGGCTCATTTAGAATCAACCCCTGGCTGCTTTAGAATGGCTAGCATAGAGCATGTCCGATAATGTCCTTAAAACAACCTTAAACGTTCTTTTTTTTAAAATATGCTACTCACCGTGTCGTCAGCGCTGTTCAATGACGTTCCAAAAAAAGTTTCGTGAAGAAAAAACGTTCCTGTAGTGTTTTATTTAGCATTTTGTAAATCCCATTGAGTTCTGTAGGAATAGTCAATTATTCCGCTGCCACCGGAAACGGAAATGGGGCCGGTTTACACAGTTGTAGTCTTTTCGCTTCACTCTGTGTTATCGGACATGCTCTATGCTAGCCATTCTAAAGCAGCCAGGGGGTGATTCTAAATGAGACAAAAAGCAGAGACAGGACCAATTGTCAAACTTTTGGTGTCGATCATTCGATTTCATCCTGGACACTACAGAAAATGGGCTTAAAGTGTAAAAAACCGAACTTCTCCTTTAACCATATACCGGCCTATATTATTTTTTACAGTTTTTAGGTAAGCTGTAATATGTAATTTTCTGTTTATGAAAATGTTGGCAGCACACTGATCATTAGGTAGCTCTGTTGCCTTGCAGGAAGGTTCAGGGTTCAGTTCCTGGCCTGGGGTATTTCTGCATGGAGTTTGCATGTTTTCCCTGTGCAGCGTGGGTTCTTTCCGGGTACTCCGGCTTCCTCCCACAGTCCAAAAACATGACTGTTAGGTTAATTGGCTGCTCTAAATTCTCCTTAGGTGTGAGTCTGTGCATGGTTGTGTGTCTCTGCACTGCCCTGCGACAGACTGACACCCTGTCCAGGGTGTAACCCTCAGGGTGTAACCAACGCGACCCTGGCAAAGGACTAAGAGGGAGAAAATGGAGGGATGAAAAAGCATATATGACTCAAATCTGCCCCACTGTCTCCACATAATGTCAGAATTAATAATGTTGGTATAAACTATGACTTATATTCCACATCGTACCGTGTGTGCTACAACTAAAGTTATGTATTAGTTGTAAATTATTATAGGACTTTCTGAAATCCACATCAGATTTATTTTCACTGAACCCACCATGAAGTCCAATCTCCAGCTCCAAAAGTTTTACAAATCTTATAGGTGAGTTTTTTGCTGGGACCTTTTTTCTTGAGCTGCCAAATTCTGATTAGGAAGGTGTTTTGTGTTGCAGAAGGTAGTCTGTATCAGATACTTAATCCTCTTTTCCAGAAACTTCCTAAAAAAAAAAAAAAAATCTGCTTCTCCAAAAGTCTGCTTCCCCAGGGTTGCTAACCTGAGTTTTCTGTTTGCAGACGTTTATGCCTTAGACGCCCTAGCGGCTGAACTGCAGATTAGACGTTTTTTAATAAATGCTTCTGACAAATCCCCTGGTTTGTTTGCCTTGAATTCTGGGTCCTCTGCTCTGAGTCCTGACAAATACGATGAAACTTTCTAAGGCTTAAGTGCTTCTGAGGCTAAATGCCACTTTAAATGCTCTTAAGAGCATTCCCACTGTATTTTTGATTTTCAATAAAACAAGTTTGTCTCTGCTGCGCTCCTTCACTGTAGTTATCAGCCACATTTAGTGGTGAAAATCTGTAAAAATCTGAAGGAAATTTGTAGACACAGGGATCAAATGTCGCAAACTTCGCTAAAATCTTGCCAATTGCCATCCTAAATTCGCCATCATCGCCTTGCTCTGCTTTGTTTCGCTCCAGATATGTCCCCTACTTAGGGAAAAAAAATGGCAATCCTTTACTTCAGCCGGGAAATTCTTGTTTGGTGAGAATGTATCTTAAGACTCACACCACTCAGGTGCTGTTCAATAGGCAGTCACTGTTTAAACATTCCGATCCCATATATGACCACATTCTAGACAAGGGGATTGATGCCTTCTATTTTATAGAAACATGAGAGCAACATGGGGTCTACCGATATATAAATAAGGCTTGCCCTTCTTGATAATGCCACCTGCACAATGCCCGTACTACTGGTAGTGGGATTGCTGCTCTTCACCTCAGCAACATTGAGCTTTCAGTCATTTCTGTTCTCCTTACCAGGTCCTTCTAAAGCCTGGTTTTTAACTGCAAACAACCTTCTTCATCCCCAGTTGCCCTCATCTATCACTCACCTACGACAAACAACAGGTTTGATATCTCTGCTTCTGTCTCCTTGAACTACAGTCGCCCTCAGCAGATGGCCGCTCACACTAAGCCTGGTTCTGCTGGAGGTTTCTTCCTGTTATAAGGAAGTTTTTCCTCTCCACTGTCACTACAAGCATGCTTAGTGTGAGGAATTGACTTTGAGTCAATGAGTCGATGCAATCAACTGGTTTTCCTTAGATACAAAACTTTGAATCAATTTGACTGTATGATCTGGTGAACTGTAAAGTGCTTTGAGATGACATGTGTTGTGAATTGGCGCTATATAAATAAACCGAATTTAATTGAATTTGTACTTCCAACATTAATAGCTTTCTCATCTCCTTGAACAACATGTTTTATCTGGTATCTGGTTATCAGCAACTTCAAAAAACATATGGACTATCATACCTGCCAATTTGCTGCTGATTTTAAACATGGATAGGGCTGTCTAATTCTTCAACAGATCATAAATGGCCTCACACATAATAAGGGGCGAACTTTGGACCAGGGCATAACCCTTCTCATGATGACACTTAACTATACCCCCAGATCACTCCCCGCAGTTCCCACTCTGCGCACCTGAACCGTCTCAGCTCCTGCCTAGAGAAGTTTAAATCATGTATGAAAAAACTTCCTACAGCATTATGACTAAAATACAGCGGCCATTCAAACCAGAACAACTAACAAGCTACACTTCCCCTAAAGCCTCTGTTCCATTTCCAGCCACATTCTTTCTTTCTTTACTTCTGTAACTAACCTGGGGGTTTGACCCCTCAGCTCTTTTGATATCCATGCCACCTCCATTTGCAAGACATACATCTTTTGCTTCTGCAATATTTCCTAACTATTTCCCTCCCTCCCTGCTGTAGAGAAGTTGCCCATGCCTTTTTCTCCATCAGGTTGCACTACTGTAATGCACTCCTCATTGGGTTCCCTGCCACGAGCTTCCAAAAGCTAAATATATTGTGCATAGCCCTGGCAGGATCCTGATAAGGGTACAAAAAATAAAAACATGAGCTTACCACCTCCATCACCCTTCTGGACCATCTCAGAGCCCTGAAGATAGTGGATTTTTTTTTAAATGGAACTTGAAAGTAACCTTTTTAGAAAGCTGTACTCGTCCTAGTTGTTGTTTTTACATATCTCTTTATGTTGTTCCTTTTATATATTCCTACTGTAGCACTCTGAGGTTTGATACCAAATAGAAAGTGTATAATAAATAAAAAGTTTTGTTATCCTTGTTATCCTAAACTACTGGATAGACCAAACAACACAAAAAGCAACAGGCAAACATTTTGCTTTTTTTTACCTCTATTGGTTTTTATCTCTGCTTCATCCAGTTGGATGTTTTCTTCCTCTTTGTCAAGGAACTTAAATACGCATACATATCTCTTCCAGTCATCAAGACTGATTGAGGAGATGTTCAGGTAAACCGTCATCTGGAAGGTCCCATCATTGTTTGGAAGGATCTCTCCATGTTCCACATGCTCGTGAATTTCCTCCCCATCTTTCTTCCAGAACATCAGGGCGCTTTTAGGATAGAAACCTGTAGCGTGGCAGCTGACTGGACTAGAAGGAGTCTTCTGCAGCAGAGACAAGGACGGATGCTCTGGGAAAGGACGAAAAATAAAATAAAAGGAAAACATCATTAAAAGTTGGCATACAAAACACAGATCAGTCAGATAAGGATTCATTTAATGAATGGGAACAAGGACAGATATGATGGTAAAAAAAATAGGACAATAATACATCTAGTTAGCAATCAAATCCAATTAAAATCAAGTAACCATTCTGCAAAAAAAAAAAAAAAAAAAACTTTTTATGTTTAGCTTTAAATAGAACTGTTTTCCTGTTTTAAGTTGACGAAGATTAGGGCTCACTCCTATTCAACCCATGACAGCATCAGATAGAGAAATTCTCGGATAGTTGATCATAATTCAAATCAAGAGGTATGCATAGACTTTTTTTTTAATTATATCAGATTACGGTTTAATTTTTCTGAGCCCTCCTGATTCCTTATTCTGTCTTTTTCAGACCACTCTCTGTAAACCCTGGAGATGTTTGTGCATGAAAATCCCAGTAGCTCAGCAGTTTCTAAAATACTCTGACCAGCCCATCTGGCACCAACAGCCAAGCCACACTCAGCGCCACTTAAATCACTCTTTCCCCAATCCTGATGCTCGGTTTGAACTGCAGCAAAACATCTTGACCATGTCTACATGCCTACTTGCATGTGATTTGCTGAATAAAATATTGCAATTAACAAAGAGTTGGACTGGTGTATCTAATAAAGTGACCTCTGATGTATATAAATATCTGGTCTGAAGTTTTTTAAACTATGCAACCAGAGTCAGACTACCACTACCACTAATGTTGTGTTTGAGTTGTAGTTTAATGCAGACATTTCTGAGATTTAAGTTAGAAATAATCGTCTGCTGTAGGACAGTACATATATATAAAGTGATAATGTCAAAGGTTATTGAAGAATGAGAAGGGGCCTACATGTGTGTATGTGTGTACATACACACGTGTAGAATTCATTTTTAAATTCTTCTTTTGTGTCTGGTTAAATTTTGGGCCGGCAGTCTGTCATTTTACCAATTTGCCTTATCTTGGCATTACATTACAGACAAAGAGAGCTAAAAGATAGACAAGCTTAAAAAAGGGTTCACTCCGTTGATTTCATGCCCTGGCTTCACTTTCCCTGTGGGAATTACCTGATCAGTTAGAGTAACTTCTAATGAACATATGGATTAGGATCCAAAGTCTCTTTTAATGCCTGTATTGCATTGGCACTACAATCTACACAAAAATTACATATGTAAAAACATGAGTGTTATGTCTACACTACTCCCAAAATTTCAAAGAGCCGCTGAAAAGTAGGGATTTTTTTTAAAGCAGATTAACACAATGCTGTGGATGTTAAAGATGGTGAATTTTCTATCGCTAATGATAGTCCAGATGCTAACTATGTAAAAGACCTACCAAGCCTCATTTGAAAAGGTTTTGTTTCTAAAACTGGAAAGCACTTCTAATGTATCTAAGAAGTGTGTGGAACCAGTTAAATATGTTCTTGGTTTAGTAGACAGTAGAAGCTTTGATATGTCCCCCTTCTGAAGCCATTACCTCAGGTTCTGAACCACTAAGAGTTCCACGATATGAATTTGAAGGACAGAGAGGCGCAAGTTAACAGAAAGTCAGTACAGAGTTTTTTCTGTAGGCATCCATTATAAAACAAACATGTTGCTTTCTGGGGAACATCCTACAGTATCATTCTCTATGTTGATGACTTTCAGATTTGCAATTTCCTGGGCACATCTAAGAAGTTGATGTTCCCGTAATGCTCAGATCACTGACCTCTATCTTGTTAACAGCTCTGCAAGGCTGAGGAGGTAAAGGTTTGGTTACAGTATTGTAGCCACTGCTCCAAGGTTTTGTGTGCTTGGGAAGTCGAGGTCCTGTATGTTCCAGCAAGGCAAAGGGGTAAAAGGAGTTGTTTTGCATTGTGACAGATGATCTTGGGGCCCATCCGATTGCAGAGTTTTCTGAAAGCTTTCCTAGTTCTCAAATTTGCTAATTATGTCTGGGTGACCAGAGTATTGGAAGGATAAAGAGAGGAGAGGGATGTCAACTTAGAACTAAAGAACAACATGAAATGTACAGTATGGCTAGGCCATGCAGAAAAATATTGCTTTGACTGACCTCTGTGTAGATAATAGGCAGTGTGCACTTAGTAAATCACAACTGTCAGACTGATTTTACAAAGGGCTGTTTGGCTGCAGGTTTTCTTTCCAATCAAACAGTAGCACACAAAAGTCCTTTCATCTCATCAGGCCATCATGTTAAGACTGTTCTCACTTGATGAAATGAGTAGAGTCTGTGCTCAAAGACAATGTTGAGCTTGTTGTAATGTTCACACCAAAACTATTTGTTATTTAGATACTATGATCTATAAACACACACGCAGGTTTCTCCAAGCTTTCAAACAGGAAGAAACTATTGTTCAAAGAGGAAGAAAATATTATTTTCTGGAACACTATCTACAGCTGATAAGGGCCTTTGGCCCTCTTGTGTTACTGTGGACTATGGGTTTTGAAGCCAATGCATATCTCAATAACCAACCACATGTTACAGCAGCTCAAATTATACAGTTGGAATGATTACCGCTCATGGTTCGACTGATAGATACATGTTGGATATTTGATCTCAACAGATATTGTGAAGGGTACTCTTTTTGTGAAATGTGTAAATTTCAAGGTTAGGTGGAGGTTGGTTGAGGACCCAAATGCAGAGATGAGGAGGCAGAGATTAGTTTTTGGAGATTTTATTCAGAAACTAATGGTAACAGAAGCATAAGTCCAAAAACAATAAACAGGAATCAAAAGCTAGGAGATGCCAGGGAGAAACACACATGACAAGTAAGGTAAAGAAGAGAAACCAGAACTAAAGAACTGCACAGGAGGAGTATATATGGGACAAAGAACAAAGCTGACAGGGAGCAGGTGTGGATAGAAGGAACTAGAAGCTAGGGGAAAGGACACTGGCACCAGGGTGCAACCGAGAACAACGCAAAAAAAAAACATGGCTAGACAACTATAATGACACAAAATGGGAAAGAAACAAATGACCAAAAAAAAACACAAAATCACAGTGTAACTGAAAACCACCCAAAAAAAAAAGGAAGTCCACAAAGGACAGAAAAGTGACAGTAAGAGCTTGGTCAGTTGAGCTGCATAATGGATGAAACAATGTTGAAGCATTGTCTTGGATTGCAAACATAGCCTTGATTTGTCAAATGCAGAAGTCATGTTTGGAACAATAAATGGTAGTACTCAAATTTGGAGAAACACAAAGTTCTCTAATATCTAATTTATTAGATATTCTGTGTGGGTGTGTGATACCTTGTTTTTTATAATGGTGTGGGGAGTTGAATCCGTTTACACAGATGAGACCAGAAACCTGGTCCCCATGTGTTAAATCCCTTCTTTGAGTTGGGGTTAAGTTTAGGACAAAGCTGTGAATTCAGGTTAGGGTTAGGTATCAGTTGGTAATGAAATCTAGAATAGGTCGAATAAAATGAATGTAAGTCAATGAAAATTGAAGGATTACGACTGCTTTGGGGGGACAGTGCTCCATCACTATGTGAACATTGCTGTGACAAAGAGCTAACTGTTGCACAGGGAGCTGTGTGGCAGACTGGATAAGCAGCTTCTGATCAACCAGGCTTCCCAGAGCCGTCCACAACAAGTACCAGAGAACTGTCAGCATATACATTTGACCATTGCTAAGGTAATATCAGTGTCTAATAATAATACTAATATATTTTATTTCAAAGGTGCCAATCTGGACACTCAAGGTCACTGTATAAAAGATAAAAACACAACGGGCAGAAAGAAAGTCAAAACAGAATAAAAAAGCATTCAAAAAATAGGAAGGCTGGGACAGGGAAATTGATATTAAAAACAATAGGACATTTTAAACGGGTGAGTTTTGAGTTGTGATTTGAAATGGAGAAGTGAGTCCATATTTTTAAGTATGGGTGGTAAAGAGTTCTAGAGATGGGGGGCACAGCGGATGAATGCTTTGCTCCACATGGGGGTTAGGGCGAGCAGAAGGGACAGACAGGTATGAAGCAGATGAGGATCAGAAAGCAGGGAGGGGGTGGGAACATGCAGGAGGTCTGATAGATATGGTGGGGGGTGGTGAGGGGCCTTGAATGTCAACATTAGGATTTTATATTGAATGCGGAGCTGTACAGGGAGCCAGTGAAGCTGTCGGAGGACTGGGGTGGTATGGTGGATAGAGGAAGTTCTTGTTATATTGCGGGCAGCTGAATTCTGGATCAGTTGTAGTTCATGGAGGTATTTTTGAGGAAGGCCAAAGAAGAGAGAGTTACAATAGTCCAGTCGGGACATGAGGCTGTGAACCAGGATGGCAGCAGTGTGCGGAGTAAGGGAGGGACAGAGGCGGTTGATGCTTCTTAAGTGGAAGTAGGCAGACCGGGTAATGTTATTGATATGGGATTGAAAGGATAGGGTGCTATCGAGGATGAGATGAAGAAGTTGATAATAAGTGGGAATCTGTTGGTTTTGGAAAGAGTGAATTTAGTGTGAAAAAGAAGAACCTCGGTTTTACTACTGTTTAATTGAAGGAAGTTGTTGGTGAACCAGGCTTTTATTTCAGAGATGCAATCTGTGAGGGAAGTGGACAGAAGAGAAGATGGTTTTGTGGTGAGGTAAGCCTGAGTGTCCTCGGCATAGCCGTGGAAGTGGATATAAATTTAATACTGCCATGGGGAAAAAGGTAGATAATGAAGAGGAGGGGCCTCAGGACAGAGCCCTGGGGCACACCTGAGGTGACAGGGGAGGGGTGGATTTGAGGGTCTTCAGTTGAATGAACTGAGTGCGGAAAGAGAAGTAGGAAGTGAACCAGTCCCACAAAGTGTTAGTGATGCCAATTGAAGAAAGCCAACTGAGGAGGGTGGTGTGACAGAATGTGTCAAAAGCTGCACTCAGGTTGAGGAGGATGAGGATGGTGAGTTATCCAGAGTCAGATGCCATGAGGGGGTCATTAATGATTTTGATTAGTGTTGCTCCAATGCCATTTTTT